ATCTATCTATCTATCTATCTATCTATCTATCTATCTATCTATCTATCTATCTATCTATCTATCTATCCATCCATCCATCCCTATCTATCTATCGATTTTGTTAAGTGAATCACTGCAGTACTTAAAATCTATTTCTATCTATATCATCTCTGTCTGTCTATCTATATCTATATCTATCTAGCATCTCTATCTATCTATCTATCTATCTATCTATCTATCTATCTATCTATCTATCTATCTATCTATCTATCCATCCATCCATCCCTGCCTGCCTGCCTGCCTGCCTATCTCTTTCTCTCTCTCTTGTCTCTCATCTATCTACCATCTACCATCTATCTATCTGTCTGTCTGCCTGCCTGCCTATTTCTCTTTCTCTTTCTTTCTCTCATGTCTCTCTTTCTGTCTCCCTCTCTCTCTCATCATCATCTATTATCTACATAGACACCTTAGGAATGCACAAAACCGATGAGACCTTCATAGTGAATTCAAAACACCCCACTTTGCATTCAAAATGGTAGCTTTGCATTTGTGATGGGGCATTTCTAAGGTGACATAGGGCATTTCAAATTCAAAACTATGATTCAATTTTGTTGCCCTCATTTATACAATACTTTCAATAACCCAAAAGGGCTATGTGTGTGACAGATGCAGGGAAGCTAAGCCCAAACATGACTGAATGCAAGGCCTTTCTGCTGATAGTCAGCAGAAAAAGGCAAAAGAAAAAATATTATTTTAAGGGTAAGTTTGGGTGGAGACAGGAAAGAAAGACGAAATGAACATTGAATCGGACAACACATTTATAGAGGCGTCACTTTCTTTTAAATACAAACCTTGATAGCTTCTTGGATTTCCGTGACATCAAAGAGGACAGGCGTTTTCAACATTGCCAAAATGGTTTTCTCAAAGTTTCCGGAGATCTCTGACTTCAGGTCCTTGATCAAATCCTAATTTTTAATCAGTTCAAAAATAGAGAAGAAAGTGGGGTTTAGAACTGTACCAAAATGACATTTAGCAGAAGCAAACTCTAAATGTATCCATTTCTATGGCAAATAATAATGTTCCAGTGATATAAAAGGTCAGAAACAAGAATCCTACACAACAGGGGTGTCAACCGTCCCACTCAGTGCATGCAGCAAATAATGACTCCTGGGCCATATGTTTTGGTTGCCAAGAGTATAATTTACTGAGCTGCCATGGATACGGAAGTAGCGAAGCCAATTCTAACATTTTTGTGCACAAATAGCTCTCCCATTGTCACTTTATTCCATCCAGCCAATTATGTTCAGTTTGTTTGGAGAACAGACTCTGGTGGACTTTTCCAGCAGGTGATTTTGGAACACTGGTATGTCTCTCTGCAGAGTTAGTACTCTTGCATTCCATTGCTCCCTCCCTTGCAATCCAACCCATATCCTTCTTCCCTCCCTCCCCCGTGGGGGTTCTGACCTAGGCTTCACAAAATCACGAAGCAGACTCCTTGTCCCGGCAAAACCCCTTTTAATTAAGCTAATGTGAATTCCTCTCATTTACATCCAGCAAAGTCTCCGCAAAAAGCCTTTCAAGGGTGAATTTACAACCACAAAACTTATCAGGCTTGGAGAGCTGCCAGGCCAATATCTTCCAAATGCAAAACTGTACAAGAAAATATTTGGCAAGGAATCTCTGAGAGACATGAACAAATCTAATTAAGTAAACAAATTGTCTC